GATAACAGAATTTACATTTTTGCGTGAACCATCTCTTTAAGAACCTCCAAAACGTTAAACATTTTTATTTATTCCAATTTTTGGTTCGAAGGCGAGTACATTTTTCTAGCTTGAACTTATTTGAACAATGCCTAAAACTTGGTATTTCAATACTTCCTGTGTCTGTTTGCCTCTTTAAGAAGAATCGTATTCCCCAATTGTAAGTCGCTTTGGATAAGCATCTGCAAAATGACTAAATGTGAATGTAAATGATAACAGATTTTCAATTTTTAGTTGAACTGTCCCTTTAAGCTCATCAAAGCTGCTATATATATAATAAGTATTATGACAGGAGTAGCAATGTTCCAAATTCATTTGAGTTGGATCATTTCAGTGACTCATAAAATTCATAAGTTCATAAAATCAGTTTGAATGATTAGTTCACAATAGTTCAACTCACTGATTCGGTTTTTGAGTTAACAGCTCACATTTCTGAAGATGATCAATCAGAACGTTTACATGGACAACAATACTCTGATTTTAATACGATTAAGACAATACTCTGATTAAGAATCTACCATGTAAACAATGCAACTCCAGAGGGGACGTCAGATGGCGTCGCGTGGTGACGTAATTACGTGTGCCATTAATCGAACTATGTACTATAACATGTAAAACGGGAACATGAAAGGAATATTCTAAAATCAACTCATGTAAACACGTTAATCATAATATTGTCTTATTTAGAATAAGGTAAATAATTAGATTACTGATGTCCATGTAAACGTAGTCAGTGAGAAACAACTTTACGTTAAAATTTCTGACACAGCTATCAAGGGACTTCAAAACTCATGATTCTTTTTATTTTGACAGCCTGATTCACTTTTATTATATGAAATGGTCATTTTCATTTTTATGTACATTTTTGCTTTAAAGAAACCAATTCCACACTGAAATGAAGTTGTAGCTGCTGTAGAGAGACAGAAAAGCGCATTCGAGCATATACAATTGTGTCGAGGTCACGTCTTCTATGCTTGTCTTTAGCATTCACCAGTAGGACAGATGGTCACATGGCAACCATCCCACCTCTGACAATACAGCCTGTCTGTCATTCGGTAGTCAAGGCTACAGTTACAAAAGCAAAACTCTCTCAATACGAGTACTCGATATACCTCCACACTCGATTATACTGCAACCAACAGCAGAAGCAATATCAAATAATGAATTCTTTCATCTTTTTAGAGCTCCCAAATAAAAATTACCAAGGTGGATATTATTAACCAAAGATGCCTGTTTGGTCCGAAGCACAGACAATTATTTGATACAGGATCGGTGGATATTTATAAAGCAAGGCTGAGAGCTTTTCTCATTCGCTCAGATCCATTTCAGCCAAGTGCATCGGCCTCATCGGAGGCACCAGCCAGGGGTTTTTAGCATGAGATAGGATTCTTGAAAGCATCTATTTTAGTTCATGGATGTATGCCGTTATCAGCGGCCAGGACATTTTGTGTGGTTCTCTAGGTCTCCAGTCCGGCGCCCGTCAAAATACGTCTGGCTTTGGTTTTTACAAGACACAGAGGCTACATTAATGCAATTACAGCATGTGCGTGTGTGTATATACAGTACACTGACCTCTGAACATTTCAGCGTTGCAAAAAAATCTCTTCTATTGTTTGAGAGCGTTCAGAGAGCTGACTCATGTCTGCTCACGGCAGACATAAAAACGGGCTATTTTTCACTTTGTGCCGAGGAAGATTTCTTCACATTAGGTGGCATGAGTAATACCACCAACGTAGCAGTGTTCGCTAATTACTTCACTTGTGTTTGGTTTGGCTTGTTGTCAAACATTAGATATGCACTTGCGAAACGACAATGGAAGTCTTTAACCTGTGCTAAACAGATGTAGAGAAGCAAAGCATTCATTTACGACTGAACGTTTTATATGTGTTGCAGAGTCTGTAGCCAATTCAGGGACATGTCCGGTCTGCCAAGGTAGACATGGGCTGACGTTTCGTTATTTATCAGAAGCATCTTCTTGACCAGTGGATATCAAAACAGCCCACAGGTGATCCTGCTGTCAGAAATGATTTTGACAGCTTTATCAGTAAGAGTAAATTAGCATCAAAGATGATGATCAATTAAATTTCAAAAATAATATACATAACTAAAAATAAATAACTATAAAAAAACAAACAGTGATATCTTGAGGATTAAGCATACAAAGTCATTTTCCTTTTTTCCCCTCAGATTTGGAATTAATTAAATAAGCAGTCAGTCCAAATACTGCCGTTTTGTCCCTCAATTCTTCGCATGTCTGTTTAACACTGGGTGTCTTGTTACATAACACTGAAGGTTTGAAATCATAATGCGATTCTTCTCGCTGTACGAGCTGTGCGCTGCATCTTCTGCCAAGCAACTGAAAATCTCTCACGAGTTCAGTGCTCTGGTGAAGAGAGAGAATGAAGGACATACTGAGACTGCAGTGCAGAGTATCACAAACTACAACTGATAATAATTTTGTGAGCTTTTCAAAATGTAACTAACATTTTACATTATGATTATATAACATCAGCTGAGCAATGATATGTGGTGTAATGGTTTACTGTAGGCTGACAAACAAAACGTTGGTCTAGCGGTCCAGTGATAAATGCTCATAATTAATAATGCTGATATTTTTATAATTTAGATGTCTATACACTACCCTTCAAAAGTTTGGGGTCGATAAGACTTTTCAAATCTTTTTGAAAGCTGCATTTATTTGACCAAAAAACAGCAAAAACAGTAATATTGTTATAGAACCATTTTCTTTAATGTCATTTAAAATGCAATTTATTCCTGTGATGCAAAGCTGAATTTTCCGCATCATTACCACAGTTTTCAGTGTCACATGATCCTTCAGAAATCATTCTAATGTCCTGATTTGTTGCTCGAGAAACATTTCTTATCATAATCAATATTCAAAATAGTGCTACATAATATTTTTGTGGAAACGGTGATTATTTTTTTTCAGATTCTTTGCTCAATGGATAGTTCAAAGACATTGATTTGAAATAGAAATGTTTATTTATGAGGTTTACTATATAGCAACTGACATAATTTGTGTTTTATCCATTATCCAATGGGCTGTTTGAGCACTTTTGGAACACAAAGGATAGTTAAAGGGGTCATATGATGCGATTTCAATTTTTCCTTTCTCTTTGGAGTGTTACAAGCTCTTGGATTAGCTTGCTAGATTGTTAGCAGTACACATTAATAAAGTGCACACTGTGTAATTGCTGGGACCAGCAGGCCGCTAGTGGTACTGCATCAACAAACACCTTCAAACGGCTGCCGCGATTCCATTCACCCCTATGGTGGCTCCATTCACATGTTTTCCAAACACAAGCTAATTCCTGAGGGTTCAAGTGCTGCTGCCTCAGCAATTACAGCCTGTACCTTTAATTAGCTTTCTGCGTATTGTACAAGCAAAGCAAAGCAGAATGTCGCACACAGACGCTTGTAAACATACAACTCTCACATAAGAGAGGGAAACCTTCTCATGTTACAAACGCCCTCTTGCCTTTTCGGTCCTGTGGCTCTTTGCCTCCTCATCCAGAGAGCAAAGCGCGAGCCGTGCCGCGCTGTCACAGGGCGGCAATCCAGCAGGAAGTGTTGGCGGTGATATCAAAAGCGACAGGGAAATGAGCTGCAGTGCATCATGTGCGGACTGCAGGCGCGAGCTGTACTGATCGCTAAAGGAAGTCTGTTAGACAGGACCCAGAGAAACATCACAAATATCTGAGGGCCGTCGCAATGAGGGCATTCCAGCAGAAAAGAGCAGGAATTTAATCTTGCCAGTCCTGCTACATCATCTACACGCTGAACAGGGATAGCATTTTCCTGCTATCGGGAATAGAGTCAGGATAGGAAGGAATGTGAAGGTGCTTTTGAAGTGGTTGTAAAGTCAATTTATGGGTAAATCTTTGATAGATAAGGTAATCGAAATGGTTAAGCCATATAAGTTTGACCAGAAATACACTGAAAAGACCAAATGTTGTGTTGTGGATGCTGGTCTTCAGAATGGGATGCTGATGTATCCAAACCAGGAAATCCATGCTGGTATGAGCTGGAGGGTCATGTGCCATTCAGAAATGAAAACAGATTCTTTAGAAATTCCAGTTTGAATTGAGGTAGCAAACAGAAAGAAAAAAAAATTGCATTTCGAATTTAGATGAAAGTAAGCAGAATTAAAATTTAAATTCAATGAAAATCATACATGTGCACCTGTATTTTTAAGTTTATCAAGGCAAAATGTGAAAAGTGTGAATGTGAAATGTGAAAAGATTACAAAGCCTTAAAATGTGAAGATGTATAGATTTTTTGGGCACCAAAAGTTTGGGGTCAGTAAGGTTTTTTAATGTTTTGAATATGTTTATGCTCAAATAGGCTGCATTTATTTATTCAAAAAGAGTCAAAACTGTAATATTTTGAAATATTATTGCAATTTTAAATAACTGTTGTATTGTTGAATATAAATTTTAACATTTTTGAAAGTGGAATTTATTTGTAATCATTCCAATATACTGTTTTGGTGCTCAAGAAACATGTCTTATTATTATAAATGTTAAAACAGTTGTAGTGCTTAATCTTTTTGTGGAAACGTTTTTTTTTTGTAACAATGTAAAAGTCTTTACTGTTACTTTTGATCAATTAAATACATCCTTGTTGCATAAAAGTATTAACTTATTTTTAAAATGTCTTACTGACATTTATAAAATTACCTTTTGTGGGTCAGGGCACAAAAACACTTCATTTCCCAGAATGCATTTTACTGTGTTGAACTGCAGTTCAGTAAACTCCTCTTCCTGTCATTCTAATTCATATTCCAATTCAACTTCCTGTAAGGTGTGGCCAAATCAATTCAAATCTGCACTCATGAATCGAAAGGGAACCAATTTTTCATTTGTAATTTTGCTGGGAGAAAAACGGTTTTGCCTTCAAGTGGTCCCACTTTAACACGTCACTTTCTGTCTCCCCTGCAGGTTCTACTGGGACTTGATAATGCTCATCATGATGATGGGGAATCTAATTATCATTCCTGTGGGAATTACCTTCTTTTCCGAGCAAACCACCACCAGCTGGCTCATCTTCAACGTGGCATCGGACACCATCTTCCTGGTGGACCTGGTCATGAACTTCCGAACGGGAATTGTGAACGAGGAGAGCTCAGAGATCATCCTGGACCCAAAGGTCATTAAGATGAACTACCTGAAGAGTTGGTTCGTGGTAGACTTCCTGTCCTCCATCCCGGTGGATTATATCTTTCTAATAGTGGAGAAAGGCTTCGATTCGGAGGTCTACAAGACGGCCCGAGCGCTGCGTATCGTACGCTTCACCAAAATCCTCAGCTTGCTCCGTCTTCTCAGGCTTTCACGCCTCATCAGATACATCCACCAGTGGGAGGAGGTGAGGGGACAGCGTGTGTATGAGTGTGTGAGTGAACGAGCTATGACGCAGATGGCCTTTAGTAACACGTCTTGGATTTGCTAGCTTCCAGTATGAGCAAGAAGAGATGTTAGTTGACGTTGTGCGCATTTAGGTGTGTGTGCATTTGTTTGACACAATCAACCCAAGGTTCTTTGATCTCAGGTGTTGTTCTGCAGCACGCACCCCTCTCCGAGACCTCTGACGCACACTCTTTAGAAGTGGAGATACTTATTTGGGGGTTAAGGTAAGCATATCTGCCGCTTAGCGCTCGGCGACACCTCAAGAGCCACATTGGGGAGCGAGAGCTGGAAGAGGAACTGACCTCTTCAACGCTGCGAGAGCAGTTGAGCAAAACTATTAAATGCCTCGGCATTCATGATAGAGCACTTCACTCCCACCTCTGTCTGAGACACCCTAAGCTAAAATACAAAGCATTAATCTTCACATGACGCATTTGGTTTGCAAGCCCTCCCCAACTGGCTGGTTTCACAAGAGCGTTGTTTCACTTTAAGGTCACTTTAATCAGAAAAACACTGCATGTTTCTGCTTCTCACCTGCTATTATCCCTAGCCAGTTGTACAGTAAATTACAGCTTATGTTATGAAAGTTAACCCAACTCAGACAACCTTTTCTCGCCAAGCTTGATAAAAAAGATATGGTTAGCTGATCTTTCCCAGGTAAAAATGCAACATCAGTGGTGTCGAGGAGGTTTGAAAGCTGGAGAAGGAATTCGAGATCGCTCTTTGTTTTGGTGCCCTGCGGGTTATTAAACTCTTAAAGCCAGTTCGTCTTCCTCTTCAGCTGGCAGACACACAAGTCTGGACCGGTAGAGAGCAGAGTCGACGCTTCTGATCTTACCTAATTGAAATACAGATGTACCACTCAGGAAGAGTAAAACAAACTGACAGTAATCACGGCTGATTCATTACTATTGTTTTCTGCTGCAATCTACCATTGGATTAGTTAAGACAGGGACTCCATTAACATTTTTCTTTACGCTTGTGCAGAGAGAAAACAAAAACATTGCCAAAAACACCTAGTGCTAAAAACGCAGCCCAGAATTCACCATCATGATGCTAAGGTGTTGTGTGTGATTTCCAAACTGTTGCTATGTGGTTTATAAGATATTGCTATGTGGTTTCTAGCATGTTTTGGGTGGTCACTTAATAGTTCGATTTGAAATAGCCTACTGAAGTCAATGTAAATCTAGGGTTATTTCCTACGCAGTCACATTGTAAAAACATGCCATTGGCGACATTTCTGCAAAATGATTATACGTTGATTCTTGCATGTTTTTTCAACACTTTCAAAGCGCAATGTCCACTTTGTCCAGTGGGACTAAAATCATTCAGTTTTTTCCGAAATATATTAACTTGAATCTGGCAACATTTTATTACATTGCCTGCACATATAGTGATAGTTTGGAAATGAAATATCCAGTGAGAGACGCTAAAAGGGTTAGTTCACCCAAAAATGAAAATTAGCCCATGTATTACTCACCCTCAAGTCATCCTAGGTGCATGCAAAATGATAAGTCAGATGGCTTAGAATATTAATAGCACATCTCTTCTCAAAAAGCCATGAGGTGTCATTCACATCTAAATGCTAATGTTTTGGGGCGAGAAACATGAAAAATGTAGGGTTAAGTTTGTGTTTGAACCTTTAACCCTAAATATGACCTAACTATGACCAAATAATGCAGTAAAATGTACATTTTAAAGTAGAACGTACAATTCATTCTGCTTGTGTTTCATGAATTAGGTCTATTGACCAGAATTCCTTGCATTCCTTGCTATAATTTTTCAACACTGTAGAACTGTGTTCACAAGGATCTTTCTGTTTTGATTTATAATAGTGATAGATAGACCAATATGTCACATCAGATCTTTAATTTTTTTTTTTTTTTGTAAAAACATTACGGTTTAAAAGTTTGGAGTTAGTAAGATTTTTAAAATGTTTTGTCTCTTATGCTCACCAAGGCTGCATTTATTTGATTGTTTGATCAGTAAAATAGTGAAATATTATTACAATTCAAAATACCAGTTTTCTATTTGAATATACTTTAAAATGTCATTTATTCCTGTGATGCAAAGCGGAATTTTCAGCATCTTATGCTATTTGGATTGGGACAGAGAGGAACAAGCATGCATGGGTGGTACAGTATATTAAAAGGAAAGAAAAGAGGTAATGGAGAAAAAACAGGAGGGATTGGACATTCAGTGTGATTTTGGAAAAATAAACAGACGAGGGTGGGGGGACAAGTGAGCGCTCAAATCCCCAAGTCAATGAGGGTCACATCTGTCCATTTGCTCTCACACCAGCGTTTTGTCTGCTCTGGAGGCCTGATGGTGTGTGTATGTGTGTGTCAGTGTAGAACCCACAAAACACAGCTGTTCCCTCTCATTGTCCAGCACAGGTAACTTCACCATCTAAACCACATTATATATATATATATATAAATAAACAAAATGTACACCTGTTATAGTCTTATAAATTTGTTTTTTTATTTTATTTGAGTTGAGTTGAGTTGAGTTCAGCTCTGCTCTATTTTATTTTATTTTATTTTAGCATTTGCAATCCAAATTCATATAAAAATGTCTTAACTATTGGCAGCAGAAACAAAAACTTCAAGGAATATTGTTAATAAGCAATTATTAACATCCATACTTCATCCATATTCAGATTTCAACACAAATCTCCCTCCCCAAACTAAGTTATGATATCACATCCATATGCACATTAACATTCGCCTTGCAATATTTGCATATCAATGCATATTCAGTATTTACATGCTTGGTCTGTCCTGATAAACGACAGTGTTAAGTATGCCAGTATACAGAGGTTTGCCAAGCATAACAGAGCTATTAACATATAGAAGTCTTAAAGAAACAGTAGAAAAAAAACAGCCTGTGGAAAGAGGGTGAAAACTGAACGTGTAAAGAAAAATGACAACCGTTTTGGTGTCAGATATCTTAAATAACATTGTGAGAGGACTTCAAAATAAAAAGTGCAGAAGAGGTCAGAAATAGCTGAAATGATCAAACCTTAATTTCTTTAAATGGGGGTTGCATTTAAACCACATCATGCATCCGAACCAAGCAGGTCACAGAAGATCATGAACAACAGTCAGATGATGCTGTCTCTTTAAGCATGTCTCAACCTGGGAGGAATTTAAGCAGAATGATTCATCAGTGAGCTGGTAAATTGATCTAAAAGGGGCAAATCAGACCACGTACTGAGCTCACTTAGGGAAGAAGGAGCACCGTAGGGGGGCAGAGAGGTACTTAATGACGACAGTGTTAGTAAACTGGTCTGGAGACGAGTCATCCGATAAGGCCCGATTTCACCTGCAGGTTTTTTTTTAGGACAGTGAGGATCCTTAGGGTCCTTGTGCAGGTTTCCAAATGGACTGTGCCCTTGAAGAAAGCCTCAAAAATCTGAAATTAAGGAATCAATTATCAGTTTATTAATTTAAAATAAAAATGCAAATAAATAAATAATTATATTTTCAAATAGACATTTAAATTGTTTAAATGCGTAGTTCAATCACTTAATTAATCAATCAATTAACAATAAATAAATAAATGAATTAATAGCTATTTATATGAACAAATAAACATATATTTTAAAAGTTTATTTAATTAATTTTTTTAATAATACATTAAAATATTAAATAATTAAAGCATTAAAATAATACATTAATAACTTAATAAATAATGCAATTATTATTTGCTTAAAATAATTAAGGCAAATAAATTTTAATATTAACAAATAAAATAACACAAGTTATTAATTATAAACAATAATTAATAATTTAATTCTAAATAAAATAAATACTAACAATAAAAATAATTACATAACAATTAATAAGAATTAATATTTTTTAATAATATTATTTAATAATATTCAATAATATAATAAATAATAATTAATATTAATGAATAATAAGAAATTAAAATAATACATGATCTAAATAAATAAATACATATTTGATTGAAATAAATGTTAGAAATAAAAATAAATAAAATAATTTAATTTTAATTTGTAATGCAACCTATTATTATTAAATTAAAAGTGCATAACTAGAAATGTCTATTGTTTGTTTATATAAACTGAGAAGCCCTTGAAGATCCCAGAAAATATTTAGTCGCTTTATACAAATGTACGTACCGAATATTCCTTTAATTGTAACTTGATTCATTTTAAAGCATGTTTGTTTGGCGACTGTCTAGGTGCTCAGCACCTCAGAAATACACAGTGCATTCAAATGTCACAATCGACGGGTCAATACTGTCCTTTCTACAACAAAAGGTCACCAAATCCCAGAGTAAATGTTGCTCCTGAGAAGCGACTACATCACTTTGGTTGGTTTCAGTCAGACTGTTTTGTCGTTCACCTGTGTGTTTTTCAAAGCACCTGTGTCTGTTTCTGGTGACTCATCCCTTCTCCACAAACATCCCGCCCCTGCGTGGCGCACAGGTGTCAGGAGGCAGTGCTAGGTGACGGAGTTAGTGCTAGGTGAGGGCAGGTGAGGATATTGCCTCAGCGAGATCTTGCATCTGTGCCAAGTAATAGAAACCGTAGCACAAACAGTTCAGTCACACCTTTAAGATGCGAGAGCAGGGCGGCTTCTATCAGCATCCGCTCCCTGAAAGCAGAACTCGGCTGAGTCAGCTTGAGCTGCTTATCTTGACAGCAAGATTCCAGTGATTTATGCGCAGTTATTTCCTCAGATTTGGAGGAAACTTATCTACTTTTTTATTTGTGTGCTAACATGAGGGCAAATAAAACAGCCTAGAAAACTGCTTTCATATTTTCATATCAACTTTTATGTCTCTTATGCTCAAAGCGACATTTATTTGCTCAAAAATACAGTAAAAACAGTAAGATTGTGAAATATTATTACAGTTTAAAATAACGGTTTTCTGTTTTAATATATTTAAAAATGTAATTTATTCCTGTGATGTAGAAGCTGAATT